GATATATACCTCCTCTCTGCTTCACTCCTGCTGCGAATGGAACAACGATCACAGTTCATTCATGTTGTTGCATTATAAACGGATCTCTGATGATGTTTCTCATGTCCGTGATCTAATTTTGGGTTCTCCTGTCATACCCAACTTTACTTTACTTGTTCTGCTCGTTTTGGCGTATACCGAGGCAAACCGTCACTGATACGTCCCCCTCATACTGATGATCCTCTGTTTATGGCTGCTCAACGTGATGATCGAAGTCCGGTCTCCGCAAGGCCAAGTAAAGACTCACAAATGGTGGACCATTGTGGCAAGTTAGTGCCCACAAAAAAAAAAATTGATATGTTATGCTCTGCCATGGACGTCCTCCTCGCCTGTACACATGGCAAATCTTGATCCACCCTCCTCCCGATCACCGTCTGCAGACCATCCTCTCTCTCTATATCGTAGACAAACCACTGCAATCTTTAACGAATTTCTCAAATTGCTATTGATGATCATCAGTCACTCTGGTTTCCACTACATCTGCATCTGTTGCACGTACAGTACACTTTTGTTGGTCTAAACTCCATCCCTTGGACCTTGGTCCTTGACTCAGGCGCCACCGATCATATCACTGGTAACAAGTCTTGTTTTCTTCCTTGTCATGGTCCAAATAATTTACCCTCAGTAACAATGGCTGATGGGTCTAGAGTCTCATCTCATGGTATTGGTACTGTTAATATTTTTCCATCCATATCCATTGATCATGTACTTTATGTCCCTGGTCTCCCTTCACTTATTGTCCATTAGTCTTTTAACTCGTACTCTTAATTGTGTTATTTCATTTACTAAAGATTCTGTTTTGGTTGCAGGACCGGAGTTCGAAACACATGATTGGCACAGGATGTGAGTCTCATGCCTTTATCATCTCCGCCCTTCTCCACATGTTGGCGTTGTCATGGAGTCACCATCCCTTCTTCATGCTCAGTTCGGTCATCCCAGTCTTGCCAAACTACAACAACTTGTCCCGAGGTTGTCCACTTTATCAAGTTTGTCGTGTGAGTCTTGTCAGTTAGGGAAGCATATATTCGTAGTTTCCTCTTTCCTCGTAGTGTCTCACAACGGGCGTCGTCTCCTTTTTCATTGGTTTCATTCTGAATTTTGGGGACCTATTCTGTTAAGTCCATTTTAGGTTTTCAGTATTTGTTTACCTTTATTGATGACTATTCCAGATGTACTTTGGTTTGTTTTTAATGAAGAATCGTTCTGAGTTGTTTTCTATTTTTCAAATCTTTTTCAATGAAATAAAACACAATTTGGGGTTTCTATTCGAAATTACGTAGTGGATAATGGCCGTGAATACCTTTCTCACCGCTTAACAGTTTATGGCTTCTCATGGCATTCTTCACCAAACCTCATGTGCTATACCCTCAACAAATGGGTGGCTGAGCGCAAGAATAGACAACCTTATTGAAAAACACTCGTACACTCTTATTCAATGGTCAGTACCCTCCGTTTTTGGGGTGATGCAGTTCTCACAGCATGTTATCTTATCAACCGCATGCCATCTTCCGTCCTAGATAACAAAATCCCTCATCTATCTTATTTCCTCAAGACCCTCTGCATCCATTACCTCTTCGAGTTTTTGGGTCTACATGTTTTGTTCATGATTTTAGTCCTGGTCTTGATAAGTTATCCCTAGGTCTCACAAATTGTCCTTCTGTCTTCTAGGATTCCACGGTCACAAAAGGGCTATAAGTGTTTTTCTTTTCCCCCTTCCCTCAATCGTCATTTTATCTCTGCTGCTGTGTCCTTTTGATGATCTTCTTTTTACTTTTCACATCTATCTTCTATTTCTGTACCTCTCCCTGTTACTGTTGATATTTCTCTTATATGTGATCCTCCTGGTGATGCTCCACCCATTTTGTCTTCTCCTTCTTTAGACTCTCCTTCACCACAGGATCATCCTTCACCTCCACCCCTTCAGGTTTATAGTCGCCGTAATCGTCTCCCTCATGACTCACTCCGGTGCCCGCCTCATGTGTCTCCTCCGGCTCCAGCACTGAGTCTGACTTGCCTATTGCCCTCCGTAAAGGTATACGCTCTAAACCGTCACGCCTTCACCCCATTAACTGTTCTTAATTACAACAGATTATCTCATCTTTTTTATACTTGTCTCTCATCCATTTCTTCTGTGTCAATTCCCAAATCTGTTGAGTGATGCCTTAACTCATCCTGGTTGGCGTCAAGCTATGATGGATAATTAGTGCTTTACAGGAAGTGGAACTTGGGAGCTGGTCCAATTCCATCGGAAAGTCTGTTGTTGTTGCAGGTGGGTGTATGCTATCAAGGTTGGTCTGATGGCACGATTGATCGTCTGAAAAGCTCGACTGGTTGCCAAAGGCACCACAGATTTTGGTTTGGATTATGGTATACTTTTCTCCAGTGGCAAAAATGACCTCTGTCCTCGCCTCTTCATTGCCATGGCCGCTCTTCGCCATGGCCTCTTTACCAACTTGATGTCAAAAATGCTTTCCTCCCTCCAATGTGATATTGCATGAAGAAATTATATGGAGCAACCGCCTGGCTTTGTTGCTCAGGGGGAGTCATCTGGATTGGTATGTCGTCTTCTTCGCAAATCCTTATATGGCCTAAAACGTCTCCTCGGACTTGGTTTGGTAAATTCAGTTGTGTTGTTGTTCACAATTTGGTATGTCTCGTAGTGGAGGCGGATCATTCAGTGTTCTATCGCCACTCGAGTGCTGGATTATCTACTTAATAGTGTATGTCGATGATATTGTTCTCACAAGGAAGCGACTATCTTTGGCATCTCTCAGATAAACAACACCTTGTCATCATTTTTCAAACCAAATATCTTGGCAAAACTTCGGTACTTTTTGGGTATTGAAGTCACAATCCAATGATGGTATTGTCATATCTCAGAGGAAAGTATGCGTTAGACATCTTGGAGGAAACAGGGTTATGAACTGTAAATCTGTTGAGACACCTATGGACCCTAACATCAAACTCCCCAATCAGGGGAGCCTTTCTCAATCCTGAACAGTACAGAAAGACTAGTTGGTAAATTAAACTATCTTAACTGTTACCGTCCCCTGACATTTCTTTTTCGCAGTTAGTGGTGGTGAGTCAATTTTTAAACTCCCCATGTGAGACCATTGGATGCAGTTGTTCGCATACTGAAGTATATTAAAAGATCACCTGGAAAAGGTTTGCTATATGGCCCTAACAACGATAACAAAAATTGTTTGTTATTCAGATGCTGATTGGGCTGGTTCCCCTTCTGATAGGAGGTCTACTTCTGGATATTGTGTCTCTATTGGTAGCAACCTGATATCTTGGAAAAGTAAGAAGCAAAGTGTTGTGGCAAGGTCTAGTGCAGAAGCAAATATAGAGCTATGGCATCAGCTACTTGCGAGCTTGTGTGGCTAAACAATTGCTTAGTGAATTGAAATGTGGAGATCGTCACTCACATTATACTTATATGTGATAATCAAGCTGTCTCTCCATATTAGCTCTAACCCTGTCTTCCATGAGAGAAACCAAACACCTTGAAGTTGATTGTCATTTCATTCGAAAAAAATCATATCCGGAGATTCAAGACTGAGTTTGTTAACTCACAAACCAGTTGGCAGACATATTCACTAATCCTTACAGGACCTAGAATTGATTATCTTTGTAACACCTGGAACATATGATTTATATGCTCCAGCTTGAGGGGGAGTGTTAGATGTTAAGATGTGTGTTTCTGTTATTTGGGCTTAGTCTATTATGTATTAAGGGCATTGGCCATATCTTACAATATAAATAAATTACCCTATGTGTATGCAACACACACAAGGGATATTCTCTCCCAATCTTCTCTATTTCTCATACCCTCCATCGTAATCTTGATTGCCTCCAGTCTTCCCTCCGTATCTCTCTCCATTCTCGCTAACGTGCCCAATTTGGATCCGATAGTTTCTTGATCCTTCACCCCCACTTCGAAACGGCAAGTCGGACCAATTGTTAGGTTCCTGGGTTTGGAACCTAACAAGAACACACTCAAAAAGGTAGAAACAGTAGTGTAAGAATGGGTGTTGCTATTATTCACCGTAAAAGAATCTCTTTACAAGGACTGGGTTTGGGAGCATAACCTCCCTCTAGAGAGCCTAACCTCCCCACTCAGGATGACAAATCCTGTTAGAACTACAATCAAAACAATCCCCCCCACTACAATTGTTTATTTGCTATTTATACAACCAATAACCCCGCTCTTTCTAACTGCTGAGGTAGTTAAGCATTTAATGTTTTATTCTTTCTCTTGTAAACTCTCCATCCCTAACATTTATGCTTCCAATAATATCCACAGGTAAGCTACAAAGAAGACGCTCTACGGGAGAATATTAGTGCATTTATGAACGCTGTATTACTTGCGAAGCCTGCTGGCTTAAAGAAGAGTAAGTAGCACATACGTCCTTATGCTTCCCTTCTCTGGATTTTAGAAAAATAAGATGTCAGATCACAACTGATGACCTATCTCCCCTCCCCACAAACTTATTTACAACAAATTCCATAGCACTTTAAGTTGGTATACACATGATCACAAATTTTATATTCTAAGGTTACTTCGATTATCTTATAATTCTCTTTGTTATACAGCTTCCAAATATGCTGGGTATGTGCTGTCTGTCCATATAAGCAGCACGGTAAGTTCCTATATCTCATTTTTGTTTCAGTTTTTTTGTGTATTTAGATTGAAAGCTACCATTTCATTATTGCATTTCACATTAATGGTACTCAAGGAAACATTGGGTGTGTCCTCCCCTGTTTCCTTCTGAAAATAGAAAGTAAACTAATATTGGCAATATTTTTAGAGTTCAGTATGCAAACCGTCTCCACCTAGTGGGGAAAGGTTTATCTGTTATTGTTTTATGCAAAATATAACATCAGGGATTTTGATTTGCTCGCTGTTTCTCACAAGTCCCCTGTCTCATCTCATCTCATTGTCGACTCCAATGTATTTAGGATGCATTTAGTTGCTCTGATTTAGCCTCTGATAGACAATCAGTAAAACCGTGGTATAGGATTAAGGGGGACATAGTAGTGAAAATTTCCATGTTATTATTTGTTGTAAGGTTGCCTTGAGGAAGTTCAATCGATTTAGAGCAGCAATGCAATCAGATTACCTTTGAAGTTAAAATTGGGTGAAAAATTGAACTGGAGACCTGAGAATTAATGATGGAAATGTTAAAAAGAATGTGGGGTGAAATCTGATATCAAACTTGTGCTCAATTAGATCTCATAATTTTCTTAATGCAAAAAGGTGTATTCCCCTAACATACAGATTCGTGAAATTTCATGATTGCACTGGTTATGTGGGGAGATAGAATTAGTGATTAAGGTATGAGATTTAACTTGTGCTGTGAAGAATCAGCAATGAAAAGTGAAACAAGAGAGGGAGTTATGTAAAACGGGATCAATGAAGATGTAAATTTGCTAGTGTCATCCATTGCACAGTGATTATGCATTTTGTCTCATTCTTGGGGCGTTTAAATTATTTTTTGCTATCCTATGAATGCAGATGGGCCCAGGATTTCCTGTATCAATACAATCATTATCCAAAGCTGCAGATAACTACAAGAAAACGCATGTGGTATGAATCACGTGGATATGTCAAATGTAGGCATTCGACATGAATCCAACTTTAGATGAACATATATCGTAGTGTTTTTGTTCATTACTTTTGATTTTGTAAGCTGTTTAGTGATGTATGTGACAATAAGCGAAAATTTTGACATTGTACGAGCTTGTTGAATTTTCTGGTTATGTATCATTTTCCTCATTGCACCACCGAAAATCTTGGCTTACCAAATTAATTCATTTAAAGCATTACCACACCTAACCCTTTGATTTATTGGTTTGTTTGTTTCTCTTTAAACTAAATTTACTGATCATATGCAAATTGAATTTTATGACAATAGACTTTTTGGGGTTGATGTGTTAAAAGAGTACTATGGTTATATTTTGAAGTGGTTAATTTTTGTATCTTTCCACCACGATCAAAGATCCATATGCAAGTGTTATTTTTTTTAAATGCTTGTTTAGTTTTTAACAAAATGATAATGATACTTTGACAATATTTGTTTGATAACATTTTAATATCATTTACATGTCATTCTGTGGTTGGTTTAAAATTATTTCACAATTAATAGAATGAGACGTAAAAAATGTTAAAATATTGTCAAAAAAGCATAAGAAAACATATCAAAAACATAAGAACACATACCAAATACCGAGGCCATGCCTTGTGCAGCAATTATGGTTCCCAAAATTCAGTTGTATTCCTCAAGGCAAGGGAAGGCCGATGAGAGGAAAAAAAATAGCAAAAAGAAGCAATTCAATAAAGCCACTTTGTTTCATTTCGGCATACGATTTCACATTGTCATTAAGAGTATTTGACTCCATTTTTTTTTGTCAGCGCATACTTTTCTAAGTTTCATTATGATAGTCAACGTGACTATTACATTACAATGGAAGTGACTTGTATATCTTACAACCTCTAAGCATAGGGATGAAAATTTAATTGGATTGTTTGGTTTATACGCAAATATATATTTCATTAAAATGTCTGATGAGAATCTTAAATGTTTAACTCAATTTCTAATCTAAGGCATTGAGAATCCATGCATGTTTTCAAATTTCAACCGTTACTTTATCGCATTAGGCAGCTGCCACATTCATATTTATTCCCTAAGAAAAATACATATGCTAACTTCTGTTATTTGGGTGACTCTTAAAATGGAAAAATTATTCTTGGAAAGCCGAGTTTAATTTTGAAGAATTGACCACCGAGTTCGTGATGAAGATAAAGAGCAGATTCATCTGCAGAAAATAATTGAATGAATACTTCTTGTGAGATCAATGTGCATTAATAAGCTTTTTGACCCTTTGACCAAAGGCTAAATTATCGAAAAGATAATAAACCTAAACCAGATATAGAATTGGTTATTGAATACGTATTTTACGTGAACTTTAATTTTCATTTTTAATGAACAATTGAGATTAATTAAGTTCTAAGTGTAATGTAATCTCTTTCATAGAAATAATTGTAATGTTAATTTTAAATGTGCTCCAGAATAATAATATTTATATTTTCTCTCATTTATCCTCTCATCCCATCATAAATAAATTTTACAATTTCATAATAGATAGTTTTTATTTATTTTGAAATTTTTTTTATTTATTTAGTAGATTATTATTTTTAATTAAAAAAAGTAGTTAAATTTACAGAAAAACAATTAAATTTTAAATATTACTTAAATTTAAATAAAATGGTAACTTGAAAATTAAAAGAGGAAAAAAAAGTATAGAAAAAAAGGAGAATCCCTTTATAATTAATATATATATATATATATATATATATATATATATATATATATTATTTCTTTTTAGTTTCGTAATATTTTTTCATATCTTTAAATTGTTTGACTTATTTTATATTTACAAAATTTATCCAGATCTCAAAAATAATTTTTTCTTTTATTATAATTTTGATTATATTTTTTTTGTACGATTATGTTTAAATAGCATAATATCAATTTCAATAAATTAAATAATTTTTACGTCTTAACTATTTTTACTATTTTTAATATTATTATTTATTATTTATTGTTTTAGATGAGAATGTTATACTTTTAGTTTCAAGTGTTTAATTTCCATAAATTCTTCATAATATAAATTAATTATTTTTTATAATTTATTTTTTGTTAAAATAATATTAATTATATCTCGACAGTTCAACAAGTTTAGTATTTGGAAAATTTTCTCAAAATCTTTAATGTTCTTTTAATCTTATCATTACCCCATTATACATTTTTTTTCCTTTAGAGTTTCATCCAATAGTAGATCAACTAGTTCAACATTTGGAAAATTTTCTCAAATCTTTAATGTTCTTTTAATCTTATCATTACCCCCATTATACATTTTTTTTCCTTTGGAGTTTCATTCAATAGTATTTCAAATCGTTTATAGGACACCTATTTTATTATTTTTTAATATTTTTTATTTTTTATTTATTTTTATCATGTATGTTTTGATGACTTTTACATAATTAATTTTATTTTCTAAGTGTAAAATCCCAAACTTTTAATAATATTCATACTATTATAAGATTCATCACATATTTAATAAACTAGAACAATTAAACATAATGCATACATGAAATTCTTACAATTATCCAAATATAACTATAATAGTAATATAAAAAAAAAAAGTCCAACAAATTCTTTTACACTTAAGAACTAAAGTGCACTCAAAAGTTTATCAAAAGAATATATTTATATATTCTCATATATATATATATATATATATATATATAACCAACAAAAGAAGAAGTTCTAAACTAATTCTCTACTCCATCTCTACCACTTGAAAGTTAATCCAGAGAAGATTTCTCATGTGCTCACATTATAAAGATGATCATTACAAACAGGAGAACAAATAAACACAAAACATAGAGAAAATGGTAAGCTAATGTTATCAAAGAATACACATATAATCATTTACAAACATCAATTTATAATTTAATCATCAATAACTAACAATTTTTTACACATCCAACTATTTTGCTGTAGATTGACCATCCGGAAACATGTATTGATATCGAACTATAGGGGTTCTACCCTAGAGGGGGTGCAACAACAACTCATCCTCATCAACTACTACACTCAAAGGTTAATGCGTCAAATATCTATGGCCAAAACAAATCACCATTAGACTAAGGACTTCCTACTACTCTCCACGACATAACTATCTTTCTCTTCTTGATACTAGAAGTTATTGAGAGTGTCAGAATAACCCCTAATCCCTAGCATCCTATATCAATACATACACTTATACACAACTATCTTAAAAATTTCTCCTTGAAATCCTTATAACATCATATGCTATTTCACATTCACAAGTCATTTCATATCAACTTTGAATCAAAACTCATATATGCAATATCCATTTTACCTTCACTACAATGTCTAATATAAGCAATGTAGACATCCACGCATCACATCTTAACAAACATACCTTAAAGAGTGTACCAAAAACAATTACAAGAAATTTATATGACAAATCAAAGAATCAAAAGACTCTAGAATCAAAAGGAATATCAAAAAGAAAATTCCATGCAAAACACATGGCGTTGAGTGGCACATCCTTGCTACCGAGTGCCAATCTCCGTGCAACTTTGGTGCCTGAGCGCTACCTACATGCAGTTAAGTGCAAAACCTTATGACTTTTACCATACTAGAAGACTAGGAAGTCACATACGAAAAGAATGCTCACATGCATGGAAGGAAACGTACAACTCGAGAAAATAGTAAAAACTAACTTACTCTTTAAAGCAAACTGATCGGAAGACCTTGCAAACACTTCTTGATCTTCAAAAGGATAACTCAAAAGTTAGAACTTGAAGATAGAAGGGAGACGATACTCGATGAAAGACTTCTAGAGACATGGTAGGTGTTTTGAGTAATGAGACTTCTTAACGAAATTTTTATTAATACCTTTTTGTTTTTAATATTAAAATAACATGGTCTCGTTATTTAAACACTTTATCAACTCCTAAGACTTCTTATATGTTGTTTTATAATCTTGGAAAAATTTAGAAGTCCATATTCACATGTTATTTTACTTTTTTCTAGAGTTACTTGTTTCCACAAGGGCAACATTAACTCAAGAGTCAAATTGCCAATTTTTGAAAAGGTTTTCATAGAATATGGAATGACAATTGATTTGAAAGAGAAATTAATTTTTGAAGATTGCACAATGATTGGAAAAGAATTAAAGAATTTGAAACCTTCCCTTTTAGGTTCCATCGTCTTTGAAAGAATATGAATTGCCATCAAAAACAATTTCTCCTTTTCTCTCTTCTCTCTTTCTTGCCTTTCTCTCTTCTTTTCTTCTTCCCTTCTCTCTCTTTCTCTTCTCTCTTCTTTTTTTCTTTTCTCTTCTTCTTTCTCTTTCTTTTCTTCTTCTCTTGTATCTTATTCTCTTCTTCTCTCTTCTTCTTTTCTTCTCTCTTCTCTTATTCTTTTCTACTTTCTTCTCTTTTCTCTTTTTCTTCTCTCTCTCTTCTTTCTTCTCTTCATCTTTTCGCACTTTCTCTCTTCTTTCTTCCTCTTCTTTTCTCTCAAACTCTCTTACTCTTTTCTTATCCTTAAGTTCCTTAAGTCTAGCTCCAAACTCAATTTCTCTAGGAAGAAAACCATGATCGTTTAAACTCAAGAAATATTTTTCCCTTTTCAATACTTTCTCTCATTAGTTCTAGGTTTCTTTTAATGATTGGAGGCACAAACTTCCTTCTCGTGCAAGCTTTTAATTCATACCAATTATCAATGGTGAATTTTCTACCTTTATTAACCCAATATTGTCTTTCATCCCACCACTCAGTTGCATGCTTTTCTAACTTAAAGAGATATAAACTAAGAACATGAGATTCACTCTCTCTAGAAATAAAAATGGAATCATAAGATTTAGATTCACTTATTCTAGTAATGAAAGGATGCTTTTTATCAATTTCTTTTTCCCAAGCTAGGTATGTTAATGCACCTATATCTTTACCAAAGAATGAAAGATTCCTAGCTTGATTAAACATCTCATTATCAATCCTAGATGACCTAGATGATCTATATGAACTATAATACATCATCTTTGTTTCTAAAAGTTTTTCTAATCTAAAGGATTACAAGATTCACACTTAGACAAATTCTAGGTAAGAAAGGTGAGCCAAAGGGCTGCTTAAGTACAAGGTCTTACCTTGTCAGAAATGTCTTAGACTAACTAAATACTCCATAAATTAAAATTACCTTTAAAATCAAAGGATACGA